CACATCAAAATTCTCTATGAAAACAAATGTTTAAGAAATTTTTTTTTTCTTGAAACATTTTTCACATACAACTTTTTTTTTTATAAAAAAACACGTTTTTGAAAATATGCCATCTCAAAAAAAATAGAAAAAAACCAAAATGGTAGCTCTGAATATTGCGCAATATTTAAGTATAGTGCACTCTACAATAAAATGAGTTATGCATTTCTTTTACACCGAAGATGAGTACATACATTACAAAATTACAAATTTTTTAAAATTTTTTTAGAATTTTTTTTGAGTATGCAGTTTTTTAGCCCATTAAATTTAGTAGTACATTAGTATAATAAAGTGCAAGTTTTAAGCGATTGAAAACGGGTTTGCGCATTTTCTTCCAGAAGAAAAAAGCGCAAAAAGCCATAAGCATAAAAAAAAATTTTAAATTTGCGTACAAATCTCCATGACAAAAATCTACGCTACAATTTTTTCAACGGAATTATAAAATCTATTATATTTTCAGCTGGGCCGATTTGAAAATACCTACAAAAATTGAGTTTTTATAAGTAAAATTAGTTTTAGAAAATTTTTTTTCCCAAAAAATTACCTCAGATGATAGATGGTTAGTAGCTCTGCATACAAATGTTTAAAAATGTTTAATATAATACATTTTTATAATTCCGGTGGAAAAACCGCAACTTTTTTTTTGGTGATGCACCCTAATTTAGTTACATACACTTTTTAAGTATTATGGGAATCCTAGTGATTTGAAGAATAACACGATAGTGGCAATTTTGATTTATAATCGCCCGACTTAACCAAGTTTTTAATATGGAAGCGTGTTGTTTGATGCAAATGTGTGGTACGGGGCGTATGAGTAATCAATCGCAATGCCTTCGCCGCAAGCTAAACAAACATAAATGATATTTTCGCAATCCACTGCGTCAAGCTACCGTTATTTGCATTTTAGTGTTCAATTTAAAATAAATTATTAATACCTACTTATGTTTATAATTAGGTCGCGATGAAATCCAAAAAAAAGGTTTAGGAAATAAAGACTCACTAAACTAGCTACCACTCAAGTGCATAAAAAATAATTGAATAATGAAATGAAATTACGCAAATTAAGAATCAACTAAAACTTAAAGCTACGGCAGACAACATAAGCAGCAAAAACTATTTGTGTTAGGAATTTCCGGTGTTTTAGTCGTTGAAAAGCGGTAAATGCCAACATCGCCAAAAGCAAAACTGCTAAGAATTTAAGTTTCAACCAACAACATACCTAAATAACAACAAGAATAACAACAAAAACTGGGTTGATTGTGTAAGAGAGATAGAGAGTGAGAGAGTAAGGAGAGCGACGGCAACAACAACAACAACAACAACAAAAGTCACGGTCGGAGCATAGTTGAATTTGTTGAAAAATTAATTAAAACGATAGCGAGGGTAGCGGTTAATGGTGTGAAAATAAAAGGCCTCGGAAATTCATTTCGTTTTCTTCGCACAAAAACGTACGAAAGTACGAAATTAAGTAGTTAAATATTTTTTAAATAAGAAGCTAGCTAGAGGCAAGTGATGTGCAGTGCAATAGAAATACTTTTGTGATAACAATAAAAGACCGAATAAAGTTAGAAGTACCGCATCCTCGTTGCTTGCGCGTAATCGAGTGATCCGAAAAGTGAAAAGTATAGCGCAGGCATAGCCACTTAGTTGCTCGCAAACAATTTTCACGCACGCGATAGTCTATTAAAAGAAAGCCGAATCGAATAGCCGAGTGTCCTGCTAATTACGTACTTTCAAATTTGTCACAACAAGCTACAATTAAGCTACATACACCTCTTATACGACATACATATATAATTTCTATAAACGCCCACAACTCAATCCGCTGAGCGCACAATTTTTAACGACGCTGTGCTGCTCGCAGGCACGTGAGGAGAGCCGAGCAAAACTCCATTTCGTTGCGGCAACTAAACGGCGTGGCTCGACCTTGAGTAAATAAAGAATTCAACAGCACTTCCGTAGTACAGCGTCACAGAAAGCGCCGTGCTGATAGTGGTGCAACAATTGAAGGCAACTGCCTTCTCGAAGCCGGAAAGTTTGCTCATTTGAACGTCGTGTGCTTCGAGTCTAAGGTAAGTGTACACTTTAAGGTTCCATTTTTTTTTGCTGTTTCAAGGTTTTTGGCATTTTAATTTTAAGCTTCAAGTATATTCTGGGGTTAGTGACAGAAATGTGTGGACAAAATTTCCGATCATAAATTAAAGTGTCTCACCCGCTAGTGCTTTCAAAACGTACATACATCCAGAATAAGGTTTTGTTATTATGTGACAAAATATTTATTTATTTAGAGAAAGTCTTCAATTTACTTCAGACTTTTAGTTGAGACCAGTCTACGTTCAGATTTAAAAAATTCAAATGGCGGGTCCATATTGAATGTATCATTTAAATAACACGGAAAAAGTTGAAATCGAGCGTACGTACGTGGCGTATGAGTGACATATTAGTAAGAATCTGGTCTGATTTCAGTTTCTTAATCAGAGATGTTACGATACCTTGATTGTAGAGTTTTAAGCGTTTCTAATCGATTTAATTTTTGGCCGTCATATCGCGTTCGCCATTTTAAATCTTTCCAGTCTGACTTTAGACACTTAATCGGCAATTTCAAAACCCGCGCAGAAAACGTTTCAAGCGAAGCTGATCCATTTTAGTTTTTTATTATGAATTTTTAAAATCAAGCTCTATATTCGTAATCAGCAATCAAAAAATAATAAAAAGCTGCCATTTTCTGTTACAGTGCAAAATCTAATTGGAGTGCAATGGGGTATAGTCATTGCGCTGGGTATGCAGTTACAG